GAGAGAGAGAGAGAGAGAGAGAGAGAGAGAGAGAGAGAGAGAGAGAGAGAGAGAGAGAGAGAGAGAAGTTCTTACCCTATCTTCAGCATCAAGTTTAATATTCAGCTTCTCAATCAGTTTCTTTGTCTCATCTTTCTTGAAGTTCATGATGGCATCAAAAATCTAACCACACAAAAATCATCAAATAAAAAATGGCCACTTCCTCCTTCTTACCTTGTAGATTGGGTCAAGAATAAACTGGCAGAATCCTCTCACGTAGCCTTCTCCTCCGGTTTTGTTCCACTTCTTGTCGGTTGCACTAAAGAACTGATCTCCCCAGAGCCTCTTCATCAGTTTCGCTGTCTCTATCTTGAACTTTGAGGCATACATCTCACCAAACTGCTTGAGAGTGAAGGCCCAGCCGTGGAGACCAGAGCCAAAACCAACAGTACCAACACTGGGATCAACCTTTTATAATAGAATGAAATAATAGTAACAATGAAGTATAATGAAATATTTTAAATGACACTTCAATGCATACAAATTAAAGTCTATTACAGTGTTCTGTTACTGTATAAAGTACATTTTGCAATTTAAAGAAAGTACCTACAATAATCTATTCAAATCATTGCTACATACAAGTACATATGTAGGCTATAAAATTTCTAAAAGTGTATAAGTAGGTCACATGCTACAGAGTGATACTACTAAAGACTACTATAATATTGTTAGTGTATAAAGTACAGTACATGAAGGTATAGTTAATATTAACAGTTATCTGTTGAACTTCTACAAAAGTACAAATACATAGTGAAGTACATATACATATACTGTAAAAGCCTATAAACTATACTGTTGAATTTCATAATAATCTTTTAACACATTGTCTACAATAGTCCACTCCTCCACTCACCATGATATTCCCCATGGGGTCCATCTTCATCAGAGTAAGTAGCAATGATCACGTTAATGGACTCCACGATACGCTGGAAGGTTTGGTAGAGGTCCTCCTGCTCCAGCTGAAGCTCAAGGAGTGCTCGGTCCATCTTGTTCATGAAGGTAACTGGTTTTATCCTCTCAGCAATGGCCTGACGTAACACAGTCTCAGTTTGTACACAGACACCTGAGAAAATATAATAACAGCCAATTTAAAAATATTGTGATATTAAAGGAATTTACTATAGATATTAGGCATTAAAATTGGAGTTTAATAAAGTATTTAAAGGTGGCCAGAAGTTATAGTCTATTGATAAAGCACTCAATAAAGTAATAATGTGTCATTCATTATCAACTTACAACTTCATAAGAATATACACACTATACTTAGCACATTACATAAGGACAATACTAATACTACCGTATAGCGGGTTTCTTTCGTTCGGCCAAACTTTCGTTTTCTAGGAGAAAATCCAATTTCGTGGGTTTTATTTTCGTCCTTCTGATCTGCAATAATTGAGCCACACCCAACAACCCCACCCATAACACCCACGTTTGCATGTGTTAGTGTTGATGAACTCCGGATCGAGCTCTCCCACAGCAAATTTCGTGGGTTTAATTTTCGTTTTTGGAGCTTGGAGAACGAAAAGAACGAAAGTTTGACCGAACGGAAGAAACCCGCTATACGGTAATTAATACAGGATGTACATTTGAATGCAGCAGCTGAATTACATGTACTGTACATGAACTCCAAGGGCAAAAAAGAAGCACAAACTTATGTACATGTACATATGCATCAGATTTTAAACCCACAGCTGCTTATTGTAATCAAACTAATACAACAATACTGATTACTGTTCACTCACCGCTAACACAGTCCACAACAACAAGTGCCCCATCAGTGACACGGAGAGCAGCTGTGACTTCAGACGAGAAATCAACATGGCCTGGAGAATCAATGAGGTTGATCAGGAAACCGTTACCGTCCTTCTCTTGCTTGATGAAATCCATATCCTTCATGTCCAGTTCATAGTATAAAGAAATAGCACTAGAGAAGGAAAGAGAGAGGGAGGAGAGAAAGGGAAGAGAGAGAGAGGGGGGGGG